TACAAGTAAAGTAAAATTTGCTTGCATTTTTATACATTTTTTTTCAATTTTGAGAATTCTATAGGATTGTACAATTTTTAGTCTCCTTTAGGGCTAGAACTGAAATTTAAAGAAAAAAAACCTTTCAGGGATCTAATGGGAAAAAAGTGACGTCATCTACAAAAGGCAATTATGACCAATGCTTAGGAACCAGTGACAAAAAACCTCTTAGCTTACCGGTAGTTCAAATTACTATAAAACTATTATCACTTACCTTATCAATAAAGTATCTGTTGATGCTAATGTAAATATAGCTCCATCTTCTGAGGCTGAAATAAAAGATATAAGTACAACATGTACATATACAAGCAGACATAAGAGGGTCTTAATAGGAGTTACAGAACAGAGAATAAAGGGCTAAGAGTACAGAAAAGTGAAAATAAAAAATAGAAAAAGAGGGGTGCTAAATACAATGAAAAGATAATAATGGGCAAAATAAATAAAGTCAAACATATATTTCCAGTAGTTATCAATAGTTGGATACCAATTCCTAAATAAAAATGATATAGAAGGAAAGGATTAAAGAAAAGAAGGGTATAACAATATTTCTTTTTAAAGAAACATAATCAATTACTCTTGCATAAAACAGATGCAGTTTAATGGCATATTACATTTTTGTTTTCTATTTAGAATGAACAGTTAAACCCAATAAATCCATTTTTAAGCTCTTGAAATGATTCTTTACATGTTGTATATAAGAAAATGTTTTCATGGGAAAACACAAGTACAAAAGTCATGAAAGTATTAGCAAAAGAGAGGAGAGAGATGTCAAAGGGATATTCAAACTCATGTCAAAAAACAAACTGACAATGACATGGCAAAAAACGAAAAATGACAAACAACAGCACACATTACACAAAGTATTAAACTAAAGACTAAGCAACACAAACTCTACCATAAACGCTTGATATACGAAATAAATAAAGTGAATTTTAAGTTGTTTACATGGTATCTCATGACCTCAATTATTAATTTTTTTTCTCAAAAACTTTGTATCTTTCATTAAAGGGCTTCATTATCACTGAACTAGTATATATATTTGTTTAGGGGCCAGCTGAAGGACGCCTCTGGGTGCGGGAACTTCTCGCTGCATTGAAGACCTGTTGGTGACCTTCTGCTGTTGTCTGTTCTATGGTCGGGTTGTTGTCTCTTTGACACATTCCCCATTTCCATTCTCAATTTTATTACATTTGTTTTCATGTATAACATTAAAATATAATGATTTTTGTCCAACACTAATAAGACTAGTTTCTATGAATTTTAATAACCACTTTAGTTCAAATTTAAACATGATTAATACCAGTAATGTGTTTTTCTCTGGATTTCCAAACTCTTCCTAACCAGTTTTTCTATACCTTTAAAATCTTATAGTACAATTCCCATTGTTGTCCTGTCTGTATTATTATGAATATATTGAGTGGTTTTCAGATGTTATTCATCCTTTTTATGAACATAAAGACTGGTCCCTTGTTTTTTATCTGATTTCTTACCTTCAAATATAAAGACGGGTTTCCATGTAGCTTCAGAAGCTTCTGGTGCTAAAGCTGCTGACAAACTGTAAAAAAATAATGGATATAAAAAACTTCCCCTTTATATCACAAACTATCGACATTGCAACTTTTGCAAAAATCATTACCAACAAGTAAAAGTATGAATAGGCATGATAGGATCTTTTTGAATATCCAAATGTCATTTTGGATAAAAAAAAAAAAATTAAAGAAGTTTAAAGTTAGCCTTATGCAGTCAGATATATAACTCTATAGGGTTATTACAGAAAATATCTTGCATGTGTTATTACAGATACTTTGATGAGTTGTCTACTCTTTAATCCTTAAATTTTTGAAATCTGTAATAACACATGTTTGTTATTTGTAAAATAAATCATAAATGTTTTAATTTTTAGTGGACTCTAGGGAACTCTTGAAACTTTGTGCAGAAACTAAATGCATAGCCTTGATAACTAATTTTTGAATTAGATTAATACATTTTTCATTTACCATGGTAAATCAATGAGACAAGGCTTTTAAGGGATAAACTCAGCTGTAATAACAAGGCTTAGTTATTAAAGGCATGTAACTTAATATATGAGACACTTGAGAATTACTAGGAAACTTGCGCAGAACCTCATTACATGTTCTGATCATGATTTCTTACAATGAATTAAAATACATTGTAATTAAGCATGATGCATGTCTGAGCAAATGCTTTGGAGTGATGTTGAGAAACTGTAATAACACCCTTTAGTTATTACAGGCATATTTTTTCTGTCATAACATAGGTTTACTATGCATGATTGACAAACTATGAACTGTTATATTTTTCTATAGTTTAGAATACATAAAGACAATAGTAATATCAATAGCACTTATAGACATTTTAACAAAACTAATGGTGTATATTGTCCCTTTGAAACATGTAACATACATATGTTATCACAGTTCTTTGATTTTTTTAGTCCCCAATAACAAATGTATGTTATTTTTCTCTAATAACCCTATAGAATTATATCCTTGACTGTTATGGTTGACAAGATTTAAAAAAAAAAGCATGTAGTAACATTTATAACGAAATATCCTTTGACAACTGTTTAAAATCAAGTTTTGTTAGGACGCCAAAATTTCTAATAAAGCTATATTGAATATGATACACCTGGGAACAGTATATCTAACGGGAAATGAATCTGATACGCTTCTCAGTATAAAATTGATAAAATCTCGGACTCCCCGAGACTTCCCGAGATTTACGGATTTTGGTAGCGTCTGACTGAAAAACTATCAGAACTGCTCAACAAATAAACCACATAACTCTAATTGTAAATAAATACAAGTTTTATCATTTAGTAGATATATTTTGTCGTATAAAATTACCAAAATAAGTTTGATTTATTTGATGTGAAGTGTTTTATAATAGTTTGGGAATTTGTAAATCGTCGCGGCAATGGCCGCCACTTTTTTATTACCTTGTTTGCATTCTGCACAATTCTGTGATGAAATGCTTGCGATTTTAACAAATTTGAAGTGACAGAATACAAGTTTGATACACTAGCATCACTATAAAACTAGTTTGAATGACATTTTATTGATAATATCAGAAATTATTAGGATAATAGCGAGTCCGTTTTTAACACATGTCCGTTTCTGTATCGTATCTTTATTAACTATGGCACGACGATAAAATCGACTACAATCAGGTAGTGTCAAGTCCCGTCAATATATATGTTCCTGGATACACTAATGACAGCAGACCTGGCCATGCCATCATAAATATTTTGAGTATGATTATCATACTCAGGCTTTAACCAATCAAAATAATGTATCAGATGTTTCAAGCACAAATTGTGTACTCGGAGTACTGATAATAGTTTTATGACCGAGAACACTGGAATTACATTTCTTTTTAAACCATGTATACTTCTCTGAATTAAAAATAAATGTTACTGCACCTAAAAACAGCAATCTGTCCATAGTTATTAGCAGCTGCAATGTACTTTCCACATGGTGAGTAACAATGATCAAATATTGTTGTGTGTAGTTGTCTACGTGCTGCTAAATCTCTATCCTGCAAAAAGAGCATTGTTGTTTGTAAATAAAAACTCATCAACCTCAAACATACGAGGCTTATAATATTGTATGGCTAAAAATGCAACAAATTCTTAACAGAATGCAACAAAATTAACTAAAAACGTAGCATGTCTGTTTATTTTACAACCAAACATAATTAGAATATATGGCAAATTACCGTTATGGGGCATGTATAGTACTGGAATCGGACTCTGTGAACACACAATATTTTTCTGGATTTTGACAATCCAAAAAAAGATGCCTACCTTACGGACCCTATTTTCTTTAATTTCAGGATGTACATGTAAGTGGAACCATACATATATTTTTATTTGGCCTCATGTGAAATGATATCAATGTGAGAAATTCATATATGTAAAAGTTTCAATAAAATAACTGTATTCTCCAAATACTGTAAGAATTGTATAGAGAGTAACAATAATAATAGTAGCAGTATTATCTGTTAAATCTCTACAGTCTGTTATAACTATAAAAGAGAAGCATAATTTCCCGAACTTATATTGTGCATGATTGGTTGATTTTTGGTTGCTTAACGTTCAGTGGCAAATATTTCATGCATGTTCAGGGCGAGAACAAATTTAAAATAAATACAATAGGTAGGTTCTGTAATATTTAACTAATAAGGGCCATCTAGGATTAAGGTAGTGGAAATTTTGACTGCCACTGGCACAGGAAAGTGATGAGGGTATATATTGCATAGGGACAGAAATTTTGCCTTGCAAAAGGCCACCTAAAGACCCCTCAAAGAGTTATTGCAAGGGTTTTTGATGTGGAAAGAGCATGGCACTCTTAACACAAGGCACCAGATTTTACGTCCCCATCTCGGCATCTGTCCATTATGATCGGACGTGTCTGCAAACTTGTACATCCCACACAGCCAAATGGACGCCTCAATTTGGCAAGTGTTTACTGCGGGTCGGAAAAAGACCTAAGTGACCATGTCTCTATTCTCTAGTCACACCAATCATTCAAACAGTTATATTATTGCATATCAAATATTTGATCAAATAAATTTATCTATCTAATCTGCCAGATATAGATTAAACAACAGCACAAGCATAATCATTCAACAAGATTATATAATTTAGACTTTTCCAACGAAAGTTTTACCATTTTCAATTTTTAATCTATTTGCAACTGCCAGTGGAGTTATTTTTTTTTTTTGCTTTTGCACGTTTACTTGTTTTGGTTTGGTTTTCCCGCAGTTCCGGTGACTAATAATAAAACTTAATTCGGGTAAAATCCGGAATTAAACTATCCAAAAAAAATAATGAATTGTATTATTTTTGGAGTGTACGAAGAGTGAGAATCATGTTCTTTAACGTAAAGAAACATACATAAACTTTGTAGTTAATTTTAACTGTATATATATATTATATATATCCTATTGTTCACTGAGAAATCAGATAAAATCACGTGATCAAAATTTGTATACAAAGTGAAAGTCATATGACTGAAAAATGGCCGTTGTTGGGTAAAGAATATAATAACTTGACAGAAGTTTTCAGATATGAATAAGCAATAGCATCATCATAAAACATTATTTTCATATATATATATTTATATACAAGAATTGTTTTTCTATGTTGAATCCTGAATTCTAAGATTTAAGGCCTTTATATGGCCTGTACTTCAACAGAGATCCTGATCAGATGATGATGATGATGGAATTCTAGTCACTTCGGCACCTGGCTAAATCGGCACCTGGTCAAACCGGCACCCGGTATAGTCAATTCGGCACCTGGTCAAATTGGGACCTGGTTAATTAGGCACCCATGATTATTATTATGTTTTGCAAGTAATTAAACTATTGAAGACTCAGTTTTTCCATATTTTTAGTGATATTTTTGCTCGAGGTATCAACGTATATTTGTCATGCAAAACAGATGTTCCAACTGAAACTTTGTTATTAACAATGCCATATTATCTACTCCTTCTGGAATTTATATTATAAAGGAACTTCCATTTCATGACAACTGTACATTGCTAGTAAACATACAAAGTTGGTGCCAGCGTTATTCATTTTGTATAAGTAGACAGGAAATGCAGAAAAAAACAATTTAAATTACAATGAATAAATTTGTTTTTGTCCTCATATGTGGATTAGACAATAGCTTGGGTAATGGCCTCTTTGTTTATTGGTAATCTAAGGTATTTTGATTATAAAACTTTAAGAACAACCTGAAAATGGTTAAAACAACAAACGGGTTATTCCAAATTTTTTTTTTAATGATACCCATTCAAATTTAGTTAATTAAATATTGAGAAAACTTCAAACAGCAAACAATAGATTATTTTTTATTGTGTATTCTAACTGGGACTATAATACTATTACTTAGTATAATAGTACCAGATTCTAACTGTTTAATTACATGCACTGATTTTTTAACGATGTAGGAAATGTATCTTTTTAATTAACCTCTGCAATTGTACGTTTTTCAAAAAAAAATTAAAAAAGCCGAAAAACTATTCTCCCCATATGATACCTCAAATAAAAAGGAAAGAAAAAAGTTAACCACATTGACTAAGACTAATCAAATGCCGAAATGACTATAAATAGGTGCCGATTTGACAGATGCCGATTTGACTTTTTCTATAGGTGCCGAATTGACCAGATGCCGATTTGACTTGTACCCATGATGATGGATGGCTGCTTAACACAAATTAATATGCATATTCAGGACAAGAACGTGTTTATGTAATATGAATATTTACCCTGCTTTGTACTAGACCGACACGCTTAGCTGGATTTTCTTAACGTGCTATTTCACAAAGTAACAGTCCGCAGGAAGACATGTCACCTTACCACGACACATTTTTCTGACTCCGAGCCGACCAGTCTTTGCTCTTACTCATTAATGCAGCGTGCTTAGCGAAGAAGCAGCAAACACCAATTTTAAAGTCTTTTATTTGACCCGACCTCCCACTATCGAGGCATACACGCTACCATGAGACCACAGAGGCAGTCAATCCTGATCAGAGAAACAGTTTATATTGCTGTATGACATAAACAAATAAATAGTTTAAGTGTCATTAATTCTCTGGTCAAGTGTCACATATTCCCAAAATAAAGATATAAGTCCTTATTTTTATGTATATATAATTATATATGGAAGTTGATAAAAAGGACCAACCAGCAAATTTAATATGTACCGGATGATCTAGAATAGATGATACTGCGCAGATAAGGAAAAAATATAAGTCTAAAGATATGCACAACTGTACTAATATAAGATGGTAATATACGAAGATGATGTTATAAATCGTGTTGACAAATATTTCGGCTTAACAAATAGCCTTCATCAGTGTCAATAATTTTAACAATACAGTATTGTTAAAATTATTGACACTGACGAAGGCTATTGTTAAAATTTTTGACACTGACGAAAGCTATTTGTTATGCTGAAATATTTGTCAACACGATTTATGACATCATCTTTGTATATTACCATCTTATATTAGTACCGTTGTGCATATCTTTATAATTATATATTTATATATATGTAACATTAGCTATGATGAGCTCCTCAATGGACATAGGTTCAATGTGAATCCTTCTCAAATGTAGAAGAGGGTAGTCAGTGATTTTTTGGATTGTCTGTTGTTTAGATTAAGATTAAGGTAGTTTCTGTTGTCAAAATCTTCCTTTTTAAAATCAACATCTGCTTGTAGATTTGAGTGCTCGCGGGGGTGTCTCTTCTGATTTTCCACCATGTTTATGTTTCATATCCCCATGCAGAATTCTGCTGCTATTTTTTATATATACGTTTATCTGTTTACAGGAAAAATGGCATGGGAAAATTCTTTATTTATGATCACAACAAACTTAAAAAGGAAGAAGACGATTTGAAAGATGCTATTGTCTATTTTTATCCAATAATCGTGAGTATCGTAATACAAAATGTTCATTGAAATAAAACAATACATCACTGACAGCTAACGAACGAAGTATGAAATAAAAATATATGCATGATCCTCACAGGGGGTCTCATTTGGGGGTTCTGATCCCGGATCCCACTTACTGTTTTGTTAGATTCCCGTATCCCACTTACACTATGTACGGAAGCAATTCTCATTTTTTGGTAATTTCCCGTGTCCCGCTAGACTTCATTTCACATTTTCACGGCACAATAATTTGACTTTCACGTATCACGCTTACAAAAAATCGGCAATCCCGCGTCACGCTTAGACCCCAATGAGACCCACCTCACAGTTTATTGTAATTATTTTGTTTGATAAATATTTTATATGTGTATTTTTTTTGCTAGCAGCTTTATCAATGTTTATGACTTCAACTGATGTGTTCCCAATTACTTCTAAAAGTGATTTTAATAAGGGAAAAGGAAACATTGTATATACATGTACAGTTGGTATTAAGTGTATTAAGTTTAGAAACTTTATGTATAACTCAAAGAAATTCTTTTAACTATCTTAATTATTTAAGCAACTGCATGCATATATATGTGATGTTGTACTTCACATATTTGCTGACCTCGTTTGTTTCAACAAAAACAAAATTCACAATGTAAATTGTAAAAATAGTGTTTGGAAAATTTTGGAAACAGTTTTAGGCTATTTTGGATAGAGAAATTTTACCAGTACAAATCTTTGCCATGTACATTTGTATACATCTGTTTAGTAAGACAGAAATTTTTATGGAAAATTACTTTTCAGGGACTTTGGGAAACACTGTAATTTTCTATTATGCTACATTGTGTATTAGTATTGTACATGCAACAAACATTCATTTGATTTATTATAATGCTATTGAAATATAAATTGTGCAGTTAAACAATGCAGTTCTTTTAATTTTAATCACTATTATTATAGTGTTTTTTTAAGAAAATAGTATCTTACGATCATTATATACATGATACCTATTGAAGACAAAACTCTTCCACACACATGACAAATTCCATATACCCGGTATATTGCTTAAAAATCAGGCATTTTAATTTTGAAAAAACAAAACCTCTTATACTTTTATAAAATAGAATTGTTTAATTATTGAAGAATATGCAAGTTTTCAATTAATTTACTCTTTTGGTCCTCTGACTGAGGCTCTAGTGATTTAACTGGTCTTAAGTTAGTACACCTTCTACATGTTCTATTACAGACAAGTGCAGATGAACAATGTGCCCTGTGTGGACAGTTAATGGGTTTGTCTGAATTCCTACAGGCCACAATCAGCGAGTCTGTTCCAACTTTCTTCAAATTACAGAACGAGAAGTATTGCTTAAAAAGAGTTGGTAGTTACACTATGGTAACTTTTTAACCCTTTTAACCCTTTATACTTGGTCTTCACATAATTATTTAACATATTTACCATTCCTATGAGCAGAAAAGAATTTTATTATGCCTAAGTTATGTTTACATGGATAGATTATTGGAATACCCTCTGGGATATGAATGTACTTTCAGACATAGAGATAAGATAATCTTATTTTCCATGCATATTTATCTTGAAGGAGTATACGTAGGAGGGAGTGTCATCCTGAATTCCCGAAATATTAATGCTGAATCCAGAATTCTCCAAAAAATAAAACAATCTTTTCCTTGATCACGAATAAAATTAATAATTAATTCCTGAGTCCCAATGAGTGAAAATCTGGAATTTTCACAAAAAAAGGCCCTGAAAAAGGTTCTTATTCTGCCCTGCTTATTGGTAATAAACTTGTATCCCTATCAGAAATGCTCAAAATAATGTATACTTCTTGTATTTGTGACATCTATCCTTTTAAAACTTAAAGAACTGAAGCAAAATATAATTTTTATAATAACCTTTACATGCTTTTATCAATTTTGTTCAAGTTTTTGTCGAAATAAATTTATTTCTCATGTACTATAAAGAATGGCTCATTTAAACTAGCACTGAAATACAGTGCGAGACTAAAGGAATTTAATTCAATCTACTTTTCATGCTCCAATGTCATTTTTCAAGGTTATTGACATCTAAATTGATACCTAGAATGATATCAGATTAAGGATGTAAAGCTTATTTTTAGTTATGCTTTAGTTAGAGATTAATGGTTGTAAGTAGAGTAGGTAATCCCTGATTTTATATTTTTAAGCTGAATTTATTGGTCAAACTAAATTGTGGTGAAACGTCATTGCCTAATTGTATGTAAATAGAATACATATATATATATATATTTTAGGGATTGAAACAGCAACCCAGTAAACAGATACCCAAAGGACATCCAGAAACCAGATGTCATCATACAGTATTTGAATCATGTCACTTATGCATGTACAGTGAAATAAAAACAAAATCAGCACGAATTTGATCCCAATCTTATTTTACCCCCTAAATCCCACATCCCAAAAGAGTGTCATCACTCTCATTTTCATTCTTGTTTTTACAGGGATTAGAAGGATCTTTAAATGACAGTGACTTTCATATGAAGAAACAATTGAATTTCTTACATGATTCATTTGTAATGTTCTGTGGAAGTATTCAAAATATAGTACAGGTAATTTATGAGATACTGTTGTCTTTCTAGAATAGATAGGTTTCGATTGACACAAATTGAGAAAGAGTTACTTCCCTTTTGTCACCATGTTGGAGGTCTAGGTGCACAAATTCCTTCATAAATCAGCCAAACTCAACTTGGTATACTGACCGCTTGACTTTAGAAAAAGTTGTTTTCTAAACAATTTTTTTTTTTTTAGTCTTGATTAATTTAGCATTATGATCTGGTAAGGATCTTTTATCAGACTTGTTTGTACTGCATGTTTCATTTTGGTTGATCATATTAGAAAATCAACCATTTACCTGTCCAAAATGGCGACCAAGGGAAATCACTCTAACTCAAATTATGTCAATTCGAAACCTTTCTATATTAGAATAATAAAAATGAACTTAAAACCTGAAAATGATCTTTTGTGGAAATAAAATTGATAAAATTTGTTTATGACTTGTACTGAATTTAATGTTAAACCAAATGAATTTGAGTGTTTGGTGTGCCAATAGATTGAGCAAGACAAAGGTTACCAGATGTCGTTGGAAAAAAATAATAATAACATATGCAAGTCAAGAACAATTTAAAACAATGGTTACAATCATATGAAATTAAACTGAATTCAAACTGATTATAGTGACACAAGTATTGTATGTCAGTTGAAAGATTGACAAAAATTGAAAGTTTGGATGAAATTAGTTGAGAATATTTTGTTGTTTTACCAAAAAAATATTCATTTCAATTTTAACCTGGATTTCTCATAAAATTTCAAGATAGAAATCAGTCTTTAGTTATGACTTATTCAGTTAAATTTAGGTTTGATTATTCTCGTGAGGATTGTATGGAAAGATTTCTTATGTTATTAATTGGTTTTGATAGCAAAATACTTATATAATACAAGCTACATGCTTTTCCCAATACTGTGGATTCATTTATTTTTTCGTGGGTATCAATTTTCGTGGATTGAGGAAAAGTTTAATTTTCGTGGATATTTGATGTTGTGTTTTTGCCAATCTCTGCCTACAAAGCCTATACAAAATTTTTTAATTCGTTGAGCATTTGAATTCTTGGTTCACCTGTACCCAGGAATCCCACGAAAATTGGTATCCAACGAATAATAATGAATCCACAGTACTCTATTCATAAATAATACTACAACTATTATCAATAATAATTATAATAACATTTGATAATATGAATGGATTTTCGCATCCTTCTAGAATACAGAGAAATAAATAAAGAAGAAAAACAAGCAGCTTTATAATATTAAGAAAAAAAAGCAACATTGATTTATTATATATAATTTCTTCGGTTCAAGCTTACACCAAAGTTAACTTAGTTGTTTGGTTCAAGTTTACACCAAAGTTAACTTAGTTGTTTGGTTCAAGTTTACACCAAAATTAACTAAGTTGTTTGGTACAAGTTTGCACCAAAGTTAACCAGTTGTTTGGTTCAAGTTTACACCAAAGTTAACTTAGTTGTTTGGTTCAAGTTTACACCAAAATTACACCAAAGTTAACTTAGTTGTTTGGTTCAAGTTTACACCAAAGTTAACTAAGTTGTTTGGTACAAGTTTGCACCAAAGTAAACTTAGTTGTTTGGTTCAAGTTTACACCAAAGTAAACCAGTTGTTTGGTTCAAGTTTACACCAAAGTTAACTTAGCTGTTTGGTTCAAGTTTACACCAAAGTTAACCAGTTGTTTGGTTCATTTTGCACCAAAGTAAACTTAGTTGTTTGGTTCAAGTTTACACCAAAGTTAACTTAGTTGTTTGGTTCAAGTTTACACCAAAATTACACCAAAGTTAACTTAGTTGTTTTCGTTCAAGTTTACAACAAAGTTAACTAAGTTGTTTGGTACAAGTTTGCACCAAAGTAAACTTAGTTGTTTGGTTCAAGTTTACACCAAAGTTAACCAGTTGTTTGGTTCAAGTTTACACCAAAGTTAACTTAGTTGTTTGGTTCAAGTTTACACCAAAGTTAACCAGTTGTTTGGTTCATTTTGCACCAAAGTAAACTTAGTTGTTTGGTTCAAGTTTACACCAAAGTTAACCAGTTGTTTGGTACAAGTTTACACCAAAGTTAACTTAGTTGTTTGGTTTAAGTTTACACCAAAGTTAACTTAGTTGTTTGGTTCAAGTTTACACCAAAGTTAACCAGTTGTTTGGTTCAAGTTTACACCAAAGTTAACCAGTTGTTTGGTTCAAATTTGCACCAAAGTAAACTTAGTTGTTTGGTTCAAGTTTACGCCAAAGTTAACCAGTTGTTTGGTACAAGTTTACACCAAAGTTAACTTAGTTGTTTGGTACAAATTTACACCAAAGTTAACCAGTTGTTTGGTTCAAGTTTACTCCAAAGTTAACTTAGTTGTTTGGTTCAAGTTTACACCAAAGTTAACTTAGTTGATACCATAAAATATTTTATTATTATTTAACTTAGTTAACCTTTCTATTGCACAGATGTTTTAATACTTGTTTTTGTTTTCAGCAATTTGAGAATAATTATGCCGGATTTGTGGATGCACTACAGAAGATATGGGATGTGCTATATCCATCAGGTTGTTTCTATAACAACTTTATAAGTCAAGTGTTTCAGATAGTACCAATAGTACACTTACCCAAGGTAAGCACAAAGAGTAGAAAATAGAGTGGTAATAGTTCATCAAAATGGTACACTTACCCAAGGTAAGCACTAAGGGTAGAAAATAGAGTGGTAATAGTTCATCAAAATGGTACACTTACCCAAGGTAAGCACTAAGGGTAGAAAATAGAGTGGTAATAGTTCATCAAAATGGTACACTTACCCAAGGTAAGCACTAAGAGTAGAAAATAGAGTGATAATGGTTCATCAAAATGGTACACTTACCCAAGGTAAGCACTACGAGTAGAAAATAGAGTGGTAATGGTTCATCAAAATGGTACACTTACCCAAGGTAAGCACTAAGAGTAGAAAATAGAGTGGTAATGGTTCATCAAATGGTACACTTAATCAAGGTAAGCATTAAGAGTAGAAAATAGAGTGATAATGGTTCATCAAAATGCAGTAATTTCCCCCACTATTGGAAAAGAAGACCGCAACAGTATTTGAAAATGTTTGCACATCTGAAAGACACTGCTTTCATTTTTTAATGATGTTTTTTTTTTTTTAACATGAGTGCGATAGAAAATAAATTGAGTTTCACCTTATTTTCTTTGTATGCAATGATCATGATGATAAAAATATTATTCTAATATGGCGACCTATATATCGTCAACCAGTATTATCACATTTTATCTTCTTTTAGCGCAGACGCATAGATATCTATTGTGATGCAAAATAAACAAATTGGTCCTTTTCAGTTATTATTTCGATGTAAAATGTCATAAAACGAAAAATTCCACGAAATGATGTTATCGTCTTTGGCAACTAAACAAGATGACGTCATATGTATGCTTCCGGCATCAAATGTAAACACCAGGCGTTTTAAGGCTTCTTGTACACCTCAGAATGTAATAAAATAACACAAAAAGAACAAATTTAGGTGAAGAATGTGAGTTTTTTCATTTATTGTTGAATAATATTTATATCATAATATAATTATATGTGGGTTCAAATGGAACAGCCAAAACAGCATTGTGTGTTTGGGGCTTTCATGGCACAATTACAGAATTTGTCCTATTAGAATCGAAATAATTCATGGCAGCCGTAGATTTGTTTTCATTTAACCATGGGTTGGGCATTTATATTCATATTTTACCCCTCGCTGTCGCTTGGGATAAAATAATCGAATATAAATGTCCAACCTATGGTTAAATGAAAACAAATCTACGGCTGCCATGAATTATTTCTTAATTAATATGAAAAGCTTTGAAATAAACAAGTTTAAAATTTTCCAATTTTTTTTTGGGGGGGGGGGGGGGGGGGATGTTAGAACTTATAATGATGAAGCATAAAATTTGTTGCACATCTTCGTAGAAATCAAAACAGATGCATAATAGAACCAATCTGTATCCTTTCATTGCTTTCAAGCACTTTGAATAAGACTGTAAATATATTTCAAGCAATGTATATTTAATGTAACATAAACTTTTGACTTGGAATGGAAGAAATTACACTTTATCTATTCAAGTTCAGAGGTAATATATATGTTTTTTGTTTTGATGAATGAAAAGTTCTTTATTTATATATTTCACTTGAAGTTTAAAAATCATGTTATTTCATTACAAAAGACTCATTTTTTAACATAGCAGAATTTCATTTAATCTCACTATTATGCTAATTTCACGGCAACAAATTACAGCAAAAAATCTAACAAAACAAAATTGGAAAACCTGGTTGTTAGATCGTGTACTTCAAAAGAAAAATGATTCAGGTTTTGGCTTCATATCATTCACAAATAAAAATTACTTAAGGCTTCACACTACTACTGAAATATTTTACATTTTCAGAGTGGAAGTGAACTGTTTTGTCAAGCATCATATATTTTACAATCTAGTCAAAGAAGACCTGGGGTACATGTTGGTGCTATACTTTACAAAAACAAGTAAGTAAATGAATGAAATTTACAAACATTTGCAAGAAGCATAAATCAATTTTGATATAAAAAAAAAATAAATTAAAATACCATAAGTCAAAGAAAAACAGAACACCATGACAAAATGTTACACATGACACAAACAAGGTACACTGTATAGGATTCATTGACAACAATATCAAAGTTCTATATGAAAACCTGGTCAAAAATTATTCAAAATTGTCAAAAATAGAAAGTACACACCTTCAATAATTTGAAGTCACTGTACAAAATTTGAATAATGTTTGAAGAAAAACCATATATTATAGGAAAAATGTTGAAGCCTCACATGAATCAAGACTATATATCTGGTCGAAGTCATCCCTTCCAAAAATTTAACGGACACCATCACCAGTTGGTTGATCGGTATGAAATATCTGTTTCACAGATGACGACGGATATGTTCCAATTGTGGTAACCATAATCGCATCCTCATTTCGTCGTATGTGACATTACCAATTAGATTTATCACAAAGTTTGTACTTACATGAGCAACATTTATTAATTTTAATTATTTTGGATTGCACACTTCTCATGCTTATCTTGCTGTAAAAAGATTGTTAATCATAGAAGCCAATTGACTGATATCGTCAATTTAAAGCCTTGCAGAAACCAGGTTACTTATATAGGCTCACTGAAGCCTCTAGTTTATTATGCCACATTGTGACAATAACAACATTTATTAATGATTTGGTAATTTTTTTTTTAGAGTGTTATGTACACAGATGCCACCTGATCTCACACGTAAACTGATTCTTGTTAAACCTGAGGTAAGTCTTTTAATACTCATATTTGCTCTTTGTACCTCTTCAGATTTTAAAGATTAGACAGAATTCTGAATTAAATGCATATTTTTCTCATTTGAATTGTTTGACATTTTGTTTTGTCTGTGGCTTTTATGGCCTGCTATGGGATATGGATTATGCTCACTGTTGAAGGCTATATGCGACCTACAGTTGCTAACATCATCATTTGGTCTCTGGTAAATAGCTGTCTCATTGGCAATCATACCACATCTCCTTATTTTATGTAATCAAATCATAGGAGATGTTTTATAGACAGAAGCATAAAAAGCACTATTTAAATCTACTTCAAACTTTTGATGCCTTAATTAAAAAAAAAAATAATTACCTTGGTTTTAAAGTGTCGCAAACCAATTTAAATTAAGAATCTTTTTTTCTCTATGATTTAAAGTAAAAAGGCAAGATAACATTTTTGAAATTGTTGAGAAGGTTTTATAATTGTATTATATCAGGTTATTATGCTAGTGGCAGTAATTTAATGCAATTAAGTACCAGCTGTGTGTTAATAACAATGTTAATTTCCCACAAATTTTTATACAAAAGGAGACATTTCAATTTCATCTTATATTATGAACAGATGACATTGGCGTACAAAATTTTAATCCTGGTATCTATGATGGGTTTATTTACATACTTATTTATTTGGTGATTAAACTTCATTTAAATAACAAAAATTTTATTACCAGAATGAGAATAAGATCTACAAAATTAGGAGAATTTTTAATCATTTCACATCTATACTCCATTCAATACTTGAAAAGAGAGCTACCAACATTTGTTTAGAAAAAAAATAAGTTTTAAAAAGATACTAAAAAATACCGAACTCTGAGGAAATTCAAAAGGAAAGTCCTTTATCAAATGGCAAAATCTAAAGCTCAAACATCTAACGAATGGAGAACAACTGTCCTGACTAGGTACAGGCATTTCCTTATGTAGGAAAATGGTGGATTAAACCTGGTTTTATAGCTAGCTAAACCTCTCACTTGTATGACAGTCACAAAGAAATGTAATAATTTACAAGTTTGAATATGTCAATGCAGAATTGCTGGTTGCCAGCAATTACAGTGACAATTATTTGTCATTCTCCTCACATTTTCTTTATTAAATCATATAAATTTAGAAACATGGTTAGCTTGTCCTTATTGTGAATATGCATGAAGCATGTTAGGCACAGTATTATCAATATTAAGCTAAGCAATAATTAATAGATTGAATGAACAAATATGCTGCTGACATATAAAAAAAAAATGAAATAAAATAATTCATTTCTGTATTTTAACTAGTTTGCTCTGGAATATTGCTTAGACATGTTAGATGCAGGGGTTAAAAAAATAATTGACTCAGCCTCATTTTTATCCCCCCTTTAATCTCTCTTGCTTTCTAAACTTAAGGCATTTAGGTCTATCAAGGTATATATAACTATAAGGCCACTTAAAAAAAGTTTGTGTCATTCAAATGAATATATAGGGTAGGTATTATTTTATTTTATTTTTGATTTTTTTTAGTAAGGATTTTATTTACTTATCTTTGTGTATGATTCTTAATGATACTTGTTTAAACCTCAACGTTGGTTGTTAAGGGGTAACCACACATTGAAAAGTCACAAATTGAATGTTGCAAGGCCATTTCAAACAAGACTGTTAGATTTACTCACATTTGTAAATAATAACAATAAGTAAAATTAATGGAAAACATGTCAAGGACAGACCATCCTCAGTAAATATTTATTCTTTAAATAAATTTTAAGACACTCCTATCTCAGGTGTTTGTCTGGAAAAAATACTTTACTGTCTATAAATAACCGGTACAATGTTGTCCATGTTGTCTGTAATAAGGATTTTAAATAATATTTGTAGAAAAGATTGCAATTAAGTAAGCCTGAATATTAAACTTTGAAAAATAAGTTCATGATAGTCAGGTGAGACATTGTCTAAAATATACATGAGAACACAGGTAATAATCTTTGAGACACGCAAGAAATGGAATAGGAAGTTAATACTGCTATACATGTGTCAACTTTTATAAATAGGGATCATTTTAACAGGGATTTAATGAGGTATAATTTTACATCTAGATAAGAGTGGGTTGCTATTTCTAACTTTTGATTTTTATCCAGAAAGGAGAAAAAAGTGCTAGGGTAAGGGGTTTAAAAAAATGGGTCGGTTTTGAAACCAGAACCACACTTATACTTTTACTTGGTATAAAACTGATACAAAAAATTTTATAACATCACCTGAAAATAGTTGCTTCATATTTTCAAGTGGGTTTTTCGTACTTTTATATAGGTTCTGTTAACTAACATTAGTACTACTGAAGCATGTGCTATACTCTATTACTCTACTAATAATGTTATAAGAAAGTTGACAAGGACAATTTTTCCTAATACAAAATGTTGACTTGACAGGGATAAAGCTGGGAACAGAGATGGAATATGTAAAATCTGGAATATTTTTGTCAAGCATCCCCTTATTTGTTTTTAAAGTTCTTTTCATGTTTCTGTCTCAAAATAGATACTTGAGATGGACATAAGATAAGTTAAAGCACTTATTTATTTGATTTGAAAGCTTTTTGTATGCATATCTAGATTTCATGGCTGTACTTGTACTTATGAAACGGCTTGGTTCTGTCCATTTCTCTCTTAAAATTAGGCAACAGTAGTGTACCAATGTAGAAATCTCTTAAATCGATTAAGAAGATACAAATTTAGGTATGAAAAAAAATGAGGACATTGCATTAACTCTAAATGGAGCGAGAGGGGTGTGCTGTCAGGGTAAGCATCTTTTGCAATGCATGTATCACCCATCATGAGAATCCATACTCAGTCAAGATTTTACAATCAGGAATAGGATACAGTTAGTGAAATTATAGATCAGACGATTATTCTGGTATCAAAAGATCTTAGACTGCAAAAACATGTCGCTAGTGAATTGAGAGACAGACAAATCATATTGGTCAACCAATCTCGATGGTGACATTAATATTATGTACTGTTGATTGCAGTTAAATCTGTTGGAGCATTTATTACGAAAGGAGCCGTACCTGTCAATGAAGTCTGTATCGGGGGACAAGCCTGAGCATTAAATATTAATTGAGAAATGTCAGCTGAGAAATGGGAAGTAAACAATTGGAAATTTGACATCTTCACATTTGTTATAGAGTTTAGTTTTTTCAAGTATCATCCGTGTCAATATTGAGGAAAATATCAAGATCTGAAGACCTTATTAAAACTTTTAAATTTAATGAGTTTTGATATACATAAAAATCAACTATGAATTGATCAGTCCATGTCTGATACTTGTTTATCTGTCATGTGAACAGGCAAATCACAGCTGCCAATTATCTTTGTTTGGTTTCTAACTATTTTGATGACAGGGTATTAGTTAGAGTTTCTGTTTTTAATGATTACTCTTCCCATCACTTTTATGACAGGAAAAGCATGCCTGTATGAGGGAAAACAGTCTAGCCAATAAGATCTGCTTAACCTCGATTTTGTTTTAATTATATGAAATATTCTACAGGGATGGTTCAGTGTTCTATCTAGATGCTTTTTTATGCCCCCGCCAAAGCGGAGGGGCCATTAAGTTTTACCCTTGTCCATCTGAACGTACGTACGTCCGTACGTCCCAAAATTGGTTTCTGTTCTCTAACTAAAGTTTGCCTCAACCAAATGTTATGAAACTTATACACAATGCTTATTGCCACCAAATACAGATCAAGATTGAATTTTGGTAGCATCACTTTAACCGTTCTGGAGTAATGCCCTTTCATATATGAAAAAATTACAAAATATTTAGTTTCTGTTCTCTAACTTAAGTTTGCCTCAACCAAATGTTATGAAACTTATGCACAATGATTATTACCACAAAACACAGATCAAGATTGAATTGTGGTAGCGTCACTCTAACCGTTCAAGAGTTATGCCCCTTTATAAATGGAAAAATTGCAAAATTTTTAGTTTACGTTCTCTAACTTAAGTTTGCCTCAACCAAATGTTTTGAAACTTATACACAATGCTTATTACCACAAAATACAGATCAAGATTGAATTGTGGTAGCGTCACTCTAACCGTTCTAGAGTTATGCCCCTTCATAAATGGAAAAATTGCAAAATTTTTAGTTTCCGTTCTCTAACTTAAGTTTGCCTCAACCAAATGTTATGAAACATATACACAATGCTTATTACCACAAAATAAAGATTAAGTTTGAATTTTGGTGGGGTCACTTTAACCATTCTCGAGTTATGCCCTTCATAAATGGAAAAAAATGCAAAATTTTTAGATTCCGTTCTCTAACTTAAGTTGCCTCAACCAAATGTTATGAAACTTATACACAATGCTTTTTACCACAAAACACAGATCAAGTTGGATTTTGGTAGCTTCACTTTAATCATTTTCGAGTTATGCCCCTTAATAAATCGAAAAATTGCAAAATTTTTAGTTTCCATTCTGTAACTTAAGTTTGTCCCAACCAAACATTATGAAACCTATACACAATACTTATTACCTTAAAACTCAGATCAAGTACAAATTTGAGTAGCATCACTTTTATCGTTCTTGAATTATGTCCCATTATAATGTTGTATGCTAGCAGGGGCATCATCTGTGACCATGGGGACACATTCTCCATTTATTTTAAGAAATGGATTTGTTAGATATTTAACCTCAATTTTTTTTTAAATAGTCCAGTTATCATTTATGGCAGTTTTTGTGTTCCTTTTACTTGTGGTATAAAGTGCTTTTGGATAATGTCTTAGCGTTTCTAAGGTGTTAAGGACAAAATTTCGTATCTGTATGACACAATGTAAATCATTCAAGTATCAAATAGATGTAGGCACTGGTAAATGACATTTAGTCTTTATCGTTCATTTTGATCACAATATCATCTGAAAAGTCTGAAACTAAAAATCTTAAGTCTTGTTGAGAGTTTTTAAAGTGAATTTTGAAATATTTTCTTATGGTAAATTCAGAA